CTGAACCACTCAACAGCTTAAAATACAACTAGCCCCTCTCCCTTTCCAGCCAGCTGCTAGTGGGAGGGGTGAAATCCTACCCTGCTCCCCCAACCCGGGCACCGAACCAGAGCCCAGGAGGGAGAGAACAGCCGTCGAGTCCCGGCTAGCTGCTGGGACAGGACGATGGGCAGCGGCAGGAGGGGGCGGCCTAGAGAGGGGCCACACTCACAGCTGCGGTGGCAGCGCCCAGGCCAGCCTGAGGCCCTAGGAGAGGAGATGCTGGAACCTGCAAGGAGGTAAGCCTGGGCTGCAGGGCAGTGCCTCGGGGCCCCCAAAGGACGGCTGCCCTCTCCCATGCCTGCCCCAAATCCCCAGCCCATCGCCCATCTCCCCCTAGAGAGAGAACGGAAAGGCCCTGGGGGGAACATGGGACCTCTCTGTACTGTTTTTACAAATCCCCATGACTCTGTATTTCTTTTTTTTTTTTTTTCTTTTTGAGATGGATTCTTGCTCTGTCACCCAGGCTGGAGTGCAGTGGCAAGATCTCGGCTCACCACAACCTCATCTCCTGGGTTCAAACGATTCTCCTGCTCAGCCTCCCGAATATCTGGGATTACAGGCACATGCCACCACGCCCGGCTAATTTTTTGTATTTTAGGAGAGATGAGGTTTCACCATGTTGCCCGAGCTGGTCTCGAACTCCTGAGCTCAGGCAATCCACCCACCTCGGCCTCCCAAAGTGCTAGGATTACAGGTGTGAGCCACCTCGCCTGGCCTATAATTATCTCAAAGTAAAAAGTTAAATAAGCTATTCCAGGTGGGGGTGAAAAGAAACAAGTTACACTAGGTGAAGCAAGCCAGACACAAACAGTTCCATATCTATGCGAAATGCCCAGAGCAGACAGAAAGCAAATTGGAGGTGGCCAGGGGCTGGGTGGGGGACAGCGGGATGGGGAAGCTGATACTGGGCACCTGGTCTCCTCTGGGGCGAGGAAAATGTTCTGGAACGAAACAGGGGTGGAGGCTGCACAACACTGTGCATGCACTCAGTGCCACTGTTCACTTTTAAACGGTTAGTTTCATGTTATGTGAATTTCACCTCAATAAATACTTTTTAAAGGGGCCAGGGATAATAAACAGGGGCCTCAAATACCCATCAAAATAAAACCAGTCGGGTAGCAGGAGCAGGAGAGGTTCCCC